TAGTGTAGTGTGGAGAGTGTCTATAATTAACAGTCAGTGTAGTGTAGAGAGTGTCTATAATTTAATGTTAGTGTTGTGTGGAGAGTGTCTTTAATTAACAGTTAGTGTAGTGGACAGTGTCTATAATTAACAGTCAGTGTAGTGTGGAGAGTGTCTATAATTAACAGTCAGTGTTGTGTGGAGAGTGTCAACAATTAACAGTTAGTGTAGTGTGGAGAATGTCTATAATTAACAGATAGTGTTGTGGAGAGTGTCAGTAATTAACATGAACTTTATTTTCATAACTGACAACAGTGAAGAGAAGATATGTACAATATAATGAACAGAAAATATTACATGCCTGAAGAAGAGATAACAGAGTGTAATATTAAGAATATTGTTAAATCATAGTTTTTTAATGATTCACATAAAAAATAGCTTGCTGAGTTTCACTTCTCAAACTGCCTCTCTACTTGTCACATATAGTATGTCAATGTAGTAAGTTTAAAATCAACGATTCAAAGTGAGTTTTTTTTTTTATAAAGTTCACAATTTACAATAAGTATGCGTGTTCAAACTTTACAGTAACTCAACATGTCCATAATCAACATGCAGCAGCAAGACAGGGGTCGATACGGTAAGGAGTCATCAAGTGTATTTTCTATGCATTTTGCGACATGGTATTTCAAAAGACATCTGGCCTTATCCAGTTTATTTCAAGGTGTTTATTTAGAACAGCATTACAAATTAAAAAAAAAATGTCGACCAGTGACAGGTGAGTTGTACCTACATAGGTATAATTAAAATAATGATGAACGAACACACTTCATTAAGTAATTATTAAGTACGATATTTATCTATACGCCTACAGTGAAGAATAACTTCACTGAACCAAAAAATTAGAATGTACATGTATGCAGTTCAATAATGTGTTTTTTAATATATAATTTTACACCTTAAGGCTCCCTAAATACTCATGCAGTTATGATAAATATTTTTTGGACATCGAGAATATTGTAGTCTATAAAGGTTTAAACAATGAGGGTTTTTTTATGTTATCTATATTACCTCGTGGTGTGCAGTGCGTATAGAGGAAAAAAATAAGACATTTGAAATACTAATATGGATACTTATAATTAGTAGTAAAACTGTTGTTTTTTATTCAGCCTCCGAAGCTGCAATATTGAAGAAAAGAAAAGAATGTTCCGTTTGTCTGTATTTTTGTTTATCTACAAATTAAACATCCTGTTTTAAGTTATTGACTTTTAGTGATTCAGCTTTTAATTGTCACATTTGATTCTTATTTTTGCTTCTTTTTTTATTTATTTAGGTCAGAACAGAAATGATCAATTGTTGATTTAGCATGACGAGTCATTAATATAACAGGTCTAATGTTTATTTTAAAATTACATAACATGAGTTTCATTTAATCATTTGGAATGAAACTTTCACACATAAACCAAAAAAAAAGTTTATATGTGATGGTGTGGTGATATCGAATATTACAACAATTGACACTGTCCGCGAACTTTTCGAACAGCCCTGGATAAGGAAAGTTGACGATAGAAAAGTTAAAGTCATCACATTTATCATAAAGTTTTGAAGTTAGTTTGCCATCGACGCCTTTCTCTAGTAATACTTACGTATCACCATAGGTGACCTATTGCTATCCGTTTTCGTCCGTCGTCGTGCGTTAACATTTGAAAATTTTAAGCTTCTTCTCTGCAACCGCTGAACCAATTTCTACCTTACCAATTTTGGCATAGAATATCTATGAGTAAAGGGGAACAAAAATTGTGAATTTCATGTCCCTGTCCCCCTGGGATCTTAGGGGTGGAGCCACAATCATCAAAATGAGTGCAATCTTTAAAAATCTTTTTCTTTACCCCTGGACATCAAGCAGTCATACTGTTGGCATGATTGTAATGAGCATTGCGCCCTCTACCAAAATTGTGAAATTCATGGCTCCAGGGTCAGGGGTTCTGGAGTTAGGGTGGTGCTCTCTTGATTGTATAGTGAAAATGCATAAATTCTTTAAAAATCTTCTCTCCCCCTGTATATAAAGCAGATAAAGTAGGTGCATGGTTATGATGATCAAGGGTGCCTCTTCCAAAATTGTGAAATATGTGGCCCTAGGGTGAGGGGTTCTCCGGGAATGGGGGGGGGGGGGTCTATTGATTATATAGTGGAAGTGCATTATTTTTTTGAAAATCTTCTTCTCTGCTCCTAGGCATTTAGCAGATAAGCCAAGTATATAGTTATGATGAACAAGGGCACATCTTCCAAAATTTTGAATATCTTGGCCCCTGGGTCAGGGGATAGGGCAGGGCTCTATTGATCATGTAGTGAAAATGCATTAATTCTTTGAAAATATTTTTCTCTCCCCTGTACATAAAGCAGATAAACTAGGTGCATGGTTATGATTTTCAAGGGCACCCCTTCCAATATTGTGAAATTTGTGGCCCAAGGGTGAGGGGTTCTCCTGGAATGGGGGGGGGGGGGGTTCTATTGATTATACATGTATAGTGAAAGTGCATTATTTTTTTGAAAATCTTCTCTGCTCCTAGGCATTTAGCAGATAAACCAAGTATATAGTTATGATGATCAAGGGTGCCTCTTTCAAAATTTTGAATATCTTGGCCCCTTGGTTCAGGGGTTAGGGCAGGGCTCTATTGATCATGTGGTGAAAATGCATTAATTCTTTAAAAATCTTCTTCTCTCCCCTGTTCACAAAGCAGATAAACTAGGTGCATGGTTATGATTATCAAGGGTACCCCTTCCAAAATTGTGAAATTTGTGGCCCAAGGGTGAGGGGTTCTCCGGGAAAGGGGGGGGGGGCTCTATTGATTTTAATTATAGTGAAATTGCATTAATTCTTTGAAAATCTTCTCTGCTTCTGGGTATTTAGCAGATAAACTAAGTGCATGGTTATGATGATCAAGGATGCCTCTTCCAAAATTGTGAAATCTGTTCCAACTAGGGTTAGGGGTTCATGATGGGGGTGTGGTGTGTTTATTTAATATATAGTGGAAATCCTTTTTTTTAAAAATCTTCTTCTCTGTCCCTGGGTATTTAACAGAACAAGAGGCCCAGGTACCACATCACTAACTTGAGCACTTTGGCTAGGAAAAAGCAGAAATCAGTTCAGTATTGAAGAGTTTAAATATAAAAGTGACTCGGGGGGTGGGGGGTATGATTTGAACAAACTTGAATCTACACTTCCTAAGGATGCTTTTGAATTAATATGACACACAATGGCTTTGCTGTTCTTAAGAAGATTTTTTTTTTGACATATCCTTTTCATTCCTTTATATTACTATGATCCCCTGTTATGGTCCCTATACTCGGGGGGGGGGGGGGGGGGGGGGGAAGGTCATGATTTGAACAAATTTGAATCTACATTACCTGAGGATGCTCTTATATTATTATGACCACTCATGGCTTTGCTGTTCTTGAGAAGATTTTTTAAAAGATTTTTTCCTATGTATTCCTTTGGAAAACTTTGATCACCCATTGTGGCCCCACCCTACCCCCGGGAGTCATGATTTGAATAAACTTTATTCCACACTACCTGAGGATGCTTCCATAGAAATATGACCAATCATGGCTTTGCTGTTCTTGGGAAGAAGATTTTTAAAGATTTTCCCTATGTATTCCTGAGTAAAACTTTGATCGCCCATTGTGGCCCAACCCTACCCCTGGGGGTCATAATTTGAACAAACTTGAATCTATACTACCTGAGAATGCTTCCACATAATTTTCATATTTTCTAGTACAGTGGTTCTTGAGAAGAAGATTTTTAAATGATGCTATAAATTTTTCACAAATTCATAATTATTTCCCTTTGGAATAAGGCGTGGCCCTTCATTTGAACACACTTGAATCCCCTTTACCCAAGAATACTTTGTGACAAGTTTGGTTGAAACTGGCCCAGTGGTTCTTGAGAGGAAGATGAAAATGTGAAAAGTTTATAATGACAACAACAACGACGACAGACAATGAACAAATTTCGATCAGAAAAGCTCACTTGAGCCTTCGGCTCAGGTGAGCTAAAAACTAATTGCATTGTTATGACAAGCAAGGAAATCTTTTCAAAAAGTTTAAAATTCATAACGCTGGGGTCATGGATTTTGGTGTTAGAGTGAAGATCTTTTGAATATATATTAGAAATGCATTATTTCTTTGAAAATCTTCTTCTCTGCCCTTTGTTATTAAGGAAACATACTAAGTACATAATGATGATGAGCAAGAGTGCCTCTTCCAAAATTGTGAATATTTTGTCCCCTGGGTCAGGTGCTATGGTATTAGGGTAGAGCTATTTTGAATCTATAGTGAAAATGGATTATTTCCTTAAAAATCTTCTCTGCTCCTGGGCATCTAGGAGGCAAATAGGGTATATAAAGTTGTAATAAGCAAGGGTGTTTTTATCAGATTTTGAAATTCTGTTGCCTTCGGGAAATTTATTAATTTCTTCTGAAAGAAGTTATTCCCCTTTGCTATTCACCTAAAATAGTTAAACACTGTAAACAATGTAACTTAAAAGGTCAAATGAATAACAGAATTATACAAGAAATTTTATGATATTTAATACAAAAGTACTTTCATAGTTTTTAATGGTCAGGTAAACTTTACATAATAGATAAATGAAAATTGGACAAGAACACTGTATCTTTGTACCATAAATAATTTTCAAAGAATAAGATAAGCCAATGCAAGGGGGAATGAAATGTGTTTACTAATAGTGTTTTCTAGAACTATTGTTTTGTTTAGTCTGCAAATGGGGGAAAGTACAGGCAAATAAATAGATCAAGTTTAAGATTTGTTATTGAGTACTAAATTAATATTTTGCTGATCTCTAGATCTGATCATCCTATTTCTCTTACTTTTGGGCAACATAATTTTATTTATCAGCTTATTTTGTTTTAATCTATGGATTGTTACATTAAACTCAGGTGACTGTTAAGGCCCTAGGGCCTCTTGTTAATAATGCGATAAGAAAGATAACTCAATACATGCAATGATCACAGTCCATAGTTATCTCTCTTTCAACATTCTTCCTAGCTCCATTGCTGACATACATGTACAACACAATGACATTATCAACTGAAATGATTGTAAAATAAAATATGACTAAATGTCCCTGAGTTTTTCCCCTTAGTCATGAAGAACAGCTGACCCTGAGAGATTTGGACCACTCTGGGGACCTGGAGGAATATCCAGCCTTCTCAGCTTCTTCGTCAAATTCCATAGGATGCTCCAGGATACTCAGAAGTTTATTGACCCCACTAAAATCATTTCTGTCTGCTTTCTCTACAGCCTCCTGGGCCATCCAGTTCCTCAGTATGTATCTTGGATTGGTTTTATTCATGAGAGACTGTCTTCTTTTTTCTGTTGTCCCTTCAAGTTGTAATCTTTTTTTGTAGATTGCAACCCACTTCCAGAACCACTCATGGTCTGCCATTGTATTTAAAGCCCAGTAATTCTGAGGGACGGACTCTGTCTTCAATCCTAACAGATCAATTTCTCCAAGTTCTCTAAAGGACATAGTAAAATCTGACTTTGTATCTTCCATGATTTTTAGAAAAACTGCAATTAAATTCTCATCATCCTCTTTGTCTGTATACAAACCTAGCTTCTGCCTAAACAACTTCATGAACTTGTCTTTATAAATTCTCTCATAGCCTTGCAGTATATAGGGTAATTGTTTCAGCTGCTGCTGATTCAGTACAGGTTTTATTGCTCCTCCTAATTTTTCCAAATTAAAAACTCCTACATCTGGCTGGTTTTCATAGCTGTATCTACCTTCATCATCTGAGGAGTTTGGTACAAATTTAGGATTGTAATCCTCCATGAACCCAAAGGGGCCATAATCAATTGTGATTGCGAGGAGGCTGAAGTTATCAGTATTACAAACTCCATGAGTGAATCCTACGCTCTGCCAGTGGGCAATCAGCTCAGCTGTGTCCGACACAATCGTACTGTAGAGCTCCAAGTACTTATCCTTGTCTGTCGTATTTATGTGTAAAAAATAGTTCTCAATGACAAAGTCTAAAAGCTGACGAAGAACCTGAAGCTCCTTATTTTTTGCCAGGATTTCAAGTGATCCAATTCGGAACCAGGAAGGAGCTAACCTAAGAACAACAGCTCCTCTCTCGACTCGAGGATGTCCATCATAAAACTGGTCCCGTATAACGGGGTCATCAGACACCACTAGAGTTGCTGCTCGACTGGTGGGTATACCTGATTTTAAAAAGAGGATCATTTCACATCAGAAAGTGGCTCTGATTTGATATCTATCAATTACAGAAATTTATAAATTTGACTTCACCAGAGATCACATCTGTTATATAAATTATTTGTATAAATCTAGTTAACTTGGTTTTGATTTACAGTACATACTCCCTGATGCAGGTACTCAAAACTTTTTTAAATATGCTGATTAATACCCAGTTTGTGCCATATATATATGTGATGTTTTAATATATTATATGACAGTATACACATACCAAGATGAAACATTGCCTCGCTGCATAAGAACTCCCTTACAGATGACCTGAGGACTGCCCTACCATCTCCCTGACGAGAATATGGTGTCCTTCCCGATCCCTTAAGCTGGAGTTCCCACCTCTCTCCTCGCTGATTAGTGTACTCCCCCAACATCACTGCCCTTCCATCCCCGAGCTGACCTGACCAGTAGCCAAACTGGTGTCCTCCATACCTGTGGGACAAGGGAACGGAACCAGACAACACCCAGGATCCACTCACAAAATCTACAAATTCTTTTGAGGTGGTTACATAATCTGACAAATCCAAAATGTGATTGAGAACTGACTTGGAATAAGATACAAGATACGTCTCTGTCTTAAGAGGAACGGGGTAGACGACAGAAAATAAACATTTCGGGACTTGTCTCACGTAGTTTTGCAAAATTGGGTCCAGAGGAAAAGTAGTAGCTAGGACCTGTCTTCGATCGAATCTCCAAGTTTTAAAACTGTGTAGGATAGAAGCTCCAGGACATTGATCTCTTAAGATTATATCAAAAATGCAAAGCCTTTTGCACTCTTTGGACTTTGGATAAACAGCGCCAGTGTAAAGAAAACACAGAAAAACGACACAAGAAAACAGACAAAGTGAAAGTAGGTCGCTAGATGACATGTCATTTCTCATAAATAAGAATATATTCTATAAAAACGAAACATGAATTTATTTATGCATTTTACCACAATATAATTATATTTTTGACAAGATATTCATAAAATTGAAATAGTATGATAGATTTAAGATTATCTAGATTTTTTTCAACTTCATATTTATGTTATGATTTCGTTTTCTTTTATTTGTTTCGTGCTTCAGTTTCTTTATAATTCTGGAGAATTAAAACCAAAAGTATCGGTATGTCGAGCACGGAGCACATTGAACAAAAATTAAAAACATCGCCGGAGCTGGCTGATCTGACTCACTTGGTATGGGTACAGAAAACATTTTTTTAATTTGAAAAAATCTCTAAAATTTTAAAAGTTTAGTTTTAATTAAAGTTAGATATGGGGCAAAGGATGAATCTCCGTCAGTCACTCGCAGGGGTATTCCTCGCAGGTGCTCGTTTGTCAGGTCCAGTACAAACGGTACATTTAGCTACGTAGCTAAAATTACCTACCGTAGCTTTATTTACCTACCTCAGATAGCTTTATTTAGCTATTTCAAGGCAATTTTGCACAATTTTCCTTTTTATTTTGAAAAGACAAAAAATCGCAAATAAATGAGTACTTATATTTATACTAGGGGTTAATTAAAAAGCAATCCAAAGCAGAGATAGTTTTAACATTGCTGCGTTTGAACACTTTTAAGGAAAAGATGTATTTCCATTGTTTGTAACTGTACACCAACTTGTGTGCGATGAGGCGTGGGTAAGTATGATTGCTTCTCATTGTGAACTGGTTTTCTTTGTTACTTCATTCAAGAAGTCATTCAAGAAGTAACTGTTTGGTCACAAATTAACTATTGTATTAGTATATAGCCCCAAATCTTTTAGAACTTTGATTGAAAATTGCGCAGAAAAAGACACATCTCCAATAGTGATTTTTTCATGAATTGTTTTCAGATGAGTTCAAAGTTGAAAATTATCACTGCATCAAAGTACAATTTTCTGCACTTTCTGGGAAAAATGCTAATTTAAGAAATAAGGTTGATTTAGTAGCTAAATAAAGCTACTTCAGGTAGGTAAATAAAGCTATGTAGGTAATTCAAGCTACGTAGCTAAATCTAGTGATTGTACCCAGACCTGTTTGTGTATTTTATATAGTATAGGGAGGGGTGAGAGAGAAAGAAAATTAATCATCATCGTGACAAGCCCCTGTGCTTGGAATATTATAGGTCTGGTACTACCACCATGACCACTGGGCATTACAGTGATTACTGGAGTAAACGATTACCAGGTTAAAGTTCAAACATTTCTGATTAAAAAAAAATTTAAAATAGACGAATTTCACATTTACAAAAGTTATTTCCCTTTGCGGGGTCAATCTGGGGTCAATCGGCATAACACACTGTTTTCCCTCTATAACATTACCAAATTTTGGGAGCAATATCACGCAAATTAAATCCGTTTGAATATGATCATTATGTTTTTCATGTTGCTCCATACATACTAAGGCAAATCAGGAACGGGTCAAAATTGTCCGATTCCGTTTGAAGGCTGAAAATATTTACAGGTATTAGTTACAAAGGATATACTGGCAAAAATGAGTGTTATGCCGACAATGAGAGATAACTCTTAAGAATATGAAATTCGTCTATTGTCTTTTGAGTTTATTTTAAAATTGTTGAAAAAATGTCCACTTATCTTTGGATACTCATTCTTACAAAAATAAACTTGTATGTATCCAAGATACTAAATGAGCATTCTCTCTGTGAATTTACTGATTGTCATTGGTACTTATAGGAAGTGGTTGATATGTCAGATGGATGTGGTGCCAAATTTCAGACTGTGATTGTTTCTTCCAAGTTTGAGGGGCTCCCTCTTCTTCAAAGACACAGGTAAAAAAAAAACAGTGTAGAAAATAAGTTCATATATATTCAAATACAGTAACTATAGACATACAATTGAACTTCAATAACTTGAACACTGATATCTCGAATACCATGGATATGATGAATATCTCAAATCCTTGGATATCTGGAAGTTTTTTCTCGGTCCTGTAGAGTTGGAAATAATGAGGATTGATTGTACTTTTTTCTGCATGGAATCAATTTTTTCCACTAAAATTTGTCACACCATACTAAAAGTACAATGAAGAAATACAACAGAAGTCAAAGAAATCCGTATTTCTTTCTACTTGTGGATTGAACAGGAATTGTGATTCAGCAGAATTATGACTCTGTTGGAAAAAAGGATGTTTACAGTAAATATCTCCTCGGTCATTTTATTAAAATTTGCCATCAGGCTAGCCACTGGATTATGGACTGCTATATATATTTATTATACTTTCATGTTAAATACTAAAATCTGATTGGTTTAGACGCATTTAACAATTCGTAATGTTACCCTCAGCGTTAGCAACACACTTGACTACGGGTAACATTACGAAAATATCACATGCGTTCAAATCATGCGTGTACGGTTCACCGTAGAATTCTCAAAACGTCGGTTGTGCGTTTGAAAGAAGCAGAATAAACGACGTCAATAAAAGCTTGCGTCCGATGTAGCTTACTTGAAAACAACAAACGACAGACGAAACATCCTTGCGAGTGCAAACTTTAGATGATAAAGGACTTTTTGAGTAGCAAACAAACAATAAAGAGGTTGGAAAATCTTTTCCGAAGCTTTCTTATTGAGAAAAATAGAAGCGGGGAGTTTGAAAGCTTTCTAAGCGTGAACTTAACGACGATCTCCGAATTTTTTTATGACACCCGAATTCAATAAGACATTCAGTATAATAAAATAAATAGTGCACGTTTTTGAGGGTAACAGTTGAAATTGACACCCCTCGGAAAACCATTGTCAACCTCCCTTGACGCGTCGGTTGACAATGGTTTTCCTTGGGGTGTCAATTTCAACTGTTACCCTCAAAAACGTGCACTATTTATATAATATATATATATATATATATATATATATATATATATATATATATATATATATATATATATATATATATATATATATATATATATAGTAGGGATGTCAAATCGGTCAATATTTGATAATCGGTTACTCGGACGATTTTCAGATCGAGTACCCGGGTACTTGGAAAAAGTGTTTATACATGTAAAAGTTTGAGACCTGTTTACCACATCGATGTTTTCTTTCATTTATAACATGCTATAATGCATGTACATAAACATCGAGCCCAACGAAAACAATTTTTTTTGTACTGAATTTATTTATCGAACAAACACAAAAGACATGATCAATTAATACACCAATAATTACAAATGTGTTACAGTTCTTATTTATGAAGACTATTTGGTCGATGGAAGAGAAGGACGCAACTTTGTAATGATTAGACTATCGAGAGAGAATATCTTTGGGAACCATGGGAATGGACTCTGTCGTGATTGCGAGTCATATATTATTTACGTTTGCAAATGTTTTCTTTGTGATAACTCTGTAAGTTAAGTATGTTAATTTCTCGATATTTACAACTCCACCCGTTATGCATATATTATTCCACGTTTCCAACTGCCTTGGTATGCACAGCAAACTAAAAAGTGATTCCTTTAATATATGGTTGTTTCCACCCTATACACTTTTAACATTTTTTTAAATCTTCGGTTATTTATAAATATTTCTTCACTTTTGAACAGTCTGGTGAATTGGTAGCTGTATTTCTATGTATGTCCAATTTCGTTTCTGTATGCTAATTGAATAATCATAGAATAATTAATAGATCATAATTAAACGATGAAAACAAATAATGAAAGCCATCTAAAAATTAGGGTCACAAGAGGTGAGAATGGCTGTGTACAGTGTCCAGTGATTAATTACTGTATATACACGAACACAGCCACAGGCGATAACGGGTATTAACTGGTGTAGGTGACGGTAATTACTGTATAGACATGGACAATGCATATTTAAATCACATTTTTTGTAAGTTTTTAATAAATATATGCACTTTGAAATATGAAAAAAAATATACATCCGAGTAACCGAGTACTGATTTTAGTATTCGATACTTGGACGTTCGAGCGAGTACCCGGTTAACCGGGTACTCGTTGACATCCCTTAGGGCTAATATATAGTAACTCAGGTGAATGTTGTGGCCCATGGGCCTCTTGTTATTTTGAAGGTCCTTCACATGACAATCAAAATAAAAAGGAGCTAGTGAAGGTTTGATTTTAATCAGGCTAGAAAAGATGTAACTTATTTCAAAGCTTCCTTATACAGTGTAGATTTAAGTTTAATGAAATCATGACCCAGGGGTAGGGTGGGGCCTTAAAAGGTGATCCAATTGTTTACATAGGAATATAAAGGAAAAAAAATCTTTAAAAAATCGTATTCTCAAGAACCACTGGGCCAGAGGAGTTGTAACTTATGTGAAAGCTTCATTACATAGTGTAAATTCAAGTTTGTTAAAATCATGACCCCTGGGTGTAGATGGGGCCACAATGGATGATCAGTGTTTTACATACATTTATTTAATAAATAAGTCTCTAAAAATCTTTTTCTCAAGAACAGCAATGACATGATTAATCGTATTGATATGAAGCATCCTCAGATAGTGTAGATTCAAGGTTGTTCAAATCATGACCCCAGGGAGTAGGTTTGGGCCAAAGGTTATCAAAGGTTTACGAATTAGGAATAAGGAAAAATCTTGAAAGAACACAATGGCTTGATTAGTCATATTGATATATTTACATTTGCTGTGTTTTTCTACTTAACCAACTATGAAATTGATTTGAATGCCATTTTCATGTATACTCACGCGTAGAAATATACACTGTGAAACTCGCGCTAAAGTGACGTCGCAATGAGGCATCAGAGACGTTAATAAAAATATAACGATATAGGGCAACAAGAAAATCAAACATTGAGTATATTTTTGGTGCTGTTGAACTTGTAAAATGTAAATACAAGGAATGTTTTTAATGTTTAATGTTTTGAAGTTAAACATTTTTCATGAAGCACTAGTTCGCTTCATGAAATATGCCAACATGACAAGTCTGTGTGATTTACACACCAATATCTCACACAAAACTTAGAAACATTCCTTGAATGAAAGCATCCTTAGTAGAAAGTTTGTTCAAATCATGACCCCCAGGGTTAGGTTGGGTCCATTATAGGCAATGAAAGTTTTATTAATAAACAGGAATATATAGGGGAAAAAAATCTACAGATGAAGAACAGTGGGGCCATAGTGACTCAGGTGAGCATTGTGGCCCCTGGGCTTCTTGTTTTTAACATCCAATGAAACGATCAAAAATCAAGAGTCTGAAGTCACTAAATTATATAGCAGACCCCATTCAGCCTGATAATAGTGCAAAAGTCGTACAACTTTCGATTTTATGTGGAAAGTTTCTTATGATTCCTAAAACATTCATGTTAATATCTTGTTCTACTTTGTTTAAAAAGTAAAAAGTAATGTAGTCTGCTAATCTTAGTTAAACATATTTTACACATTTCTTTGTGAGAACATAACTTGAATAATTCATAAATTCAAAATACAAAAGAAGTCTAATATGTTTGATTAACCAGTTAATATATCTGAAAAAAAAAATTATGAATAACCAGGTTAAAAATTGGTCCAATCGCCATCCCAAATTTTTTCACATTTTTTTTTTCAGTTTAGTTTATTTACCTAAAAAAAGTTATACATGTAATCCGTCAAATGGAACATGTACTAGCAACTTTTTTCTCTTGCAGATTAGTGAATAAAGTTTTAGAAGAGGAATTGAAAGTCATTCATGCCTTCCAGATGAAGACCCTGACACCTGAACAGTGGGAGAAAACAAAGTCCTCGTGATGGGGTCAGGAAAGTGTTTGATGAAGTGGACTTTAACACAGAGGACTGTGAACGACATTGAAGTGGACTGAAGTAGTACTACACATACCCCAGATCAACAGAACAATCTTTACTAAATTGTAAATGAAATTAATGTAGATGAACTTTTATTGAATACAGTGTATCTTGTCTCCAGAGTAAGTAAAAGCCACATATTTCTTGCTCTTTGCAGTCACTACAGATACATGTACATGATTATACAGAGACACCATGTAAGAAATGCCATTGTTTTAGTGAACTTTGTAGTGAAATAAAGTATAATAGTGAATACATGTATTTCTTTATGCCCCCTTTTTCATGTACAAGTTTTGTGTATATGGACAAAACCATCCACGTGTAAGAGGATTCAGTTTTCTTCATGTTGAATACCAAAATTTACGTTGCTACTTCTTTATTGAGTACCATTTTAAAATATTTAACACACAGTGGTACTTCTCTAATTCTATTTCTGTCCTTGGAATAAAATGTATACACAAAGCAGGTCCACACATCTCTTGCTGGTTCACTATTATGCTAATGAATCTTGCTGTAACAGGCTACAAAAGTTGTGTTGCATTGTCAAACTTTGCATGAATATAATCAGAATCTGTATTTTATAGCCTTTGCAAAGGTGGGTTTGGGTGTGCTTTACTGCAATCAAGTTCATATGTAAGTTTGAATTAGAAAAAAAAAGGCAGAAGTTCATAATCAAATGATATCAAGAAAGCAAGCAAAACATGACATGATTTTGACATAAATGTCATTGAGCAAATTCATTTGCAGGAAAAATGCAAAATTCGAAGTTCATTTCATAAATTTGAGTTTGAGGGAAAAATTTGAAAGCTCAAACTAAATGACACAAAATAATTTTGACCTGATTTTCTTGACTTTGATTTAATTTTATCTCAGAAAGTCTTCTAACAATAGCATTTGGTTAAAGGTCACTGATGGAAGAAAGTAAAAGCATGACCTTGCCTTAGAACCTTTTAACAGATATATACAGTCATGTATTGGAAACTCATGCTTGAAACAAAGATTGCTATGGATTTAGGACCTGAGGATGTGTTCAAAGAAACTGACAGAAAAAAGCTAACATTTTACATGTTACTATGTGAAGAAAAATTACTAGGAGTCGTATACAGAGATATGAGAACGTATTCCATGCATCAAAGCTGATTGAGTATGTTCAAGGTCTCTAGTGAAAGTTTTAACCATTACCAAATCTCATCAGTAAGTGACATCTGAAACTAGTATTGATAAATAATATGTTAAAATTTAAAATGAAGTTAAGACAGAGAGGAATCCTTTAAAACTGAGTTTGCTTTATTAAACTAAGATTTTTAGTAGTTATAACTTAGTCTAGTTAAATTGGAACAATCTGTTGCCTTCACAGTGGCTTGGATTCAATATTAGCATGAGAAATATGCTTATTAGTTTAAATATAAACTAATTACCATCTTGGTAATTTTTTTTTTCAATTTATGGAGCCATACATACACTGAAGCAAATGATATTTCATACAGAGCTTTGCCATTTATTAAAATTACCACATCTCCATCAGACATACATGTTTCTAGCCTCATAAACCACAGAAAGGACATGTAGACAGATATTTTTTTAAATAAAGGGCCTGTTTATATCTGTAATAGAGAAAGCAGAGCTGTTTAAGAAAATGATTCTGAAGCATTAATATACACTAGGTCTTCGGCTGAAGCATTTGATAGTGTATACAATAGCTTCTCTGCTGTAGCATTTATATACATTATATACAGTGCTCCTTGGTTGAAGCATATTCACTGCTCCTTGGTTGAGGCATTAATATATGCTGCTCCTTGGCTGAAGCATTTATATACACTGCTCCTTGATTGAGGCATTAATATACACTGCTCCTTAGCTGAAGCATTCATATACACTTATCCTTAGTTGAAGCATTAAATTTACATTCAATTTGCCTCTTGGCTGACGCATTAATATACACTGCTCCTTGGCTGAAGAATTAATATACACTGCTCCTTGGCTGAAGCATTAATATACACTGCTCCTCCACTGAAGCATTAATATATGCTGCTCCTTGGCTGAAGCATTAATATACATCTTGACTGAAGCATTAATATACACTGCTGCTTTGGTGAAAGCATTAATATACAGTGCTCCTTCGCTGAAGCATTAATAAACAGTACTTCATGGCTAAAGCATTAATATACACTGCTCCTTGGCTGCAGCTTTAATATACAATGCTCCTCAACTGAAGCATTAATATATACTGCTCTTTGGCTAAAGCATTAAGTTACACTTCTCCTTGGCTGAAGTATTAATATACACTGCTCCTTGGCTGAAGTATTAAATAATATACATTGCTTCTTGGCTGAAGCATTAACATACACTGCTTCTTGGCTGAAGCATTAATATACACTGCTTCTTAGTTGAAGCATTAATATACACTACTTCTTGGCTGAAGCATTAATATACAGTGCTCCTTAGCTGAAGCATTAATATACAGTGCTCCTCAACTGAAGCATTAATATACAATAGCTTCTCTGTTGAAGCATTAATATAGACTTGTCCTCAGCAAAATACATGTAAAACCACATAAGAACACATCAATGTAGTTAAATTCCATTTGATATTTTAACACACCTTTACTGTCTGTACTAGACTTATTAATGCTATGCTAGTGAGCAAGTTTTTCTGGTCCAGCCTTCTTCAGCCATGCCAACATGATTTATACTTACATGGGTGACTGCTCCACGTTAAAATTACAATACACATAAACCAAATTCTGGTTTCGAATTTATTTGGAATCAATTCTGAAGTAACAAATTTCATCTTATTCATAAGAAATTAGGAATGGACGGATTTAAGAAGTGTGCACTAATAATATATATTACATAAAGATATATCACACCACCACTCATTTAAATGTCCAGCAGTACTCGGAATTATAGATACAAGTTTAAGAATCATTTTGTTGTAAGGCATTACTGCATACACTGTGTGCAGGTCCTCATGCTGAGCTACAAGAACAAATCAACATACATTGGTCACTATATCTTTGAACAGACACTGTATCTTATTTGTCAGAATTTTGAAATTTAAAGCATCAAATACTGACATATTTTATTAATCATGTCATCTGAGAATTATTTAGCAAGCAGTAGAAAAAGTGTTTGTTAAGGGAGACAACTCATTCTTCTTACAATGTGTTGTACTTTTTCAACTTGTGTAACTAAAAAACAAACACAGTAATTAGCTAGCAGCTAAAAACAAAGATGTACATCATAATTTATAGGATGCAACACAGATACTGACATGTACCAATAGCTGTTTGTTAAAAAACAAGATAATTAACATAAAAACCAAAACAGAAATAAATCCCAATGTTTTATAAATCTGAATTATCTGTTAGGACACACACACAATAAAACAGCAAGCTGACAAATATTTCACTGGACAAATGATTATCTGAAAGTATAAAGTAATGTTAATAGTAATGATGGTTGTGTTAAATCACAAGTACAGGCGTACTTATAGCAGTGGTGTTACACAGTGATCATAACAGCTAGCTAACTAGCCAGACACACAGAGACCGCACACAGACAGCTTTACTTTTTCTTTTTGCCGCCTCCCTTCTTCTTGCGGGCTTTGAGGGCCTTGCGGACTTTGAAGGAACGCCAGAAGGCCTGAATTGTGGTGGCAGCTTTGACCATCAGAGCCATTTCTCGTTCAGCTGCCTCGCGTTTCTCCCGGGCTACACGTCGCTCTTCCATGATCTGTTGGTACTCGGCCTCCAGAGTTTTGAAGCGCTCCTCGAGCTCGTGTAATTGTTTCTTTTCCTCCGTGTATACCAGGTCAATCTCCTCATACTCATTCTGTCGAAAAAAAAGTGTTTTCCATTTCAAAGGATATCGTGTTTTAGACTTATGTCTGAGGCATCAGAAAATAAAGAAATATGTTTAAACTGCTGATTAGCTTAAGCATGTTCCCAAACAATTAGGCCTAATTTGTACAATACCTGTCTCTCATTCATATCTGTGTCATATTTCTGGATCCAGTTCTCCACCTGGGACTCCACTCGGAACTTTTTCTGTAATTATTGTCATCAGTTAAATTTAAATCAGAAACAACTTATTAATTTAAGACGAAGTAAAAGTCATGGTTTTTTTTTCTTAAGGAAGACCTGTATGACAGAAAAAGAATTTAAATATTATGTGAAAAGAAAGTTATAATTTGATTCATGAATAATTTCAAAATTTGAAATTAAAAAAAAAAAACCCCATTAATTATAAAAAGTCGGAATTGAAGGTTTCATTATTTCTAGTTCTTTTTTTTTTAAAGAGTACTTGTTTTGCCATTTTTGCAGTAAAATTGATTTATTAGAGACTAACTCTGAATATTGTCATTTTTTTTTAATTTGAATACAATACATTATACTTTATGAGTGTAAAAAAAAGTATACTGGGTAATTATTTTTTTTACTTTTTTACCCTCTACATTATTTAATAATTAATTTTTGAATTCACTCTGTCCAGTATCTGCCTTCAGTTGACTTTGAATCCAGGTGGTGAACATTAATTATTTTGACATGATTTAAGCTGACAATTACAGTTAAATAACTGCATGATCAAATAAAATCATTATTACATAACAATCATATGTGTTTTAAAATTGAAGATGCCATATTTAATGGAATGGTGTAGAAAATTTTAATGTCTTTGATGATTAATAGTTAATCATGATGAATCAAGCAAATACAATAATTGTAATTATTCAATTTTTATTCAAAAATGAAAATTCTCTGAGGCTTAGGTAATAGTAAAGTATGCTTGTTACTATTATATAACATGCTAATAAAAAGTAGGTTCAGTAGGTTGTTATATACCATGCTAATAAAAAGTAGGTTCAGTAGGCTGGATTATGTTTTTAATTTTTTTTCCTGTAAATTAAGGCATAACTTTGAAACACAATTTTTAAAGACAATTTGAAGCTGTATATTTATTACTTAAAGGGAAACAACCACTTAGAAAAAAAAATTCACGGAAAAGCAATCTATGAGTTGATTCCCAAAATCTAATTACCTTGGGTAATGCACCTGAATCAACAACAACAGACTGCCAACACAATTATAGCTCTTACTTCTTCATCATATCATCAGCTGACGTGTTGCTCTCCATTTAACTTACCTCAAAGTCAACTAATAAATCATACAGTGTTAGCATTCATTTAATCAGTCTTCAGTGCTAGTTTGACACACAGGTCAAAGGAGCAGGGAACTAGAAAATTACCCATGTTACCAAGGATGTAGTGCAGTGACACTTTCAGGAGGGGGGATAACTCTGTAGATGTTGTACTTTTTCTTAATAAAGTTTTTCTTAATCAAGCTGGCTTGTTCAAACTTTATGCTAAATAAATGTATTCTCTAAATAAAAGTTTTTAAGTATGGATATTTTTTTTTTATTCAGGTCTAAACTTTTGACAAAAAAATCTTGTTTTTCCATCCTACATCTTCTGTTCAGTTGACCAACAACTGAAAGCTAACTTGCACTCTTCACCAAACAGATGAAAAATGTTTATGATCTATCTTTAACCCAACTAGGAGAAAGGGGGAAACATATTTCAAATTAGACATGTTGAGCAAGAATGGAGAATTTTGACAACTATGAGATAGGATTACATTTATTTATACGTGTATAATTTTTTAAAAAAAGTTTGTAAGTACAATAATGTCAAATTTATACTGTTTGATTATTCCATCATAAACCACTCACTAAAAAAAGTGAAGAGGAAATAAATCTGAGTATTTACATGATAATAAAAGTTATTATTTATTATCACATCTATAGATCTACATATGTGTAACTATATGATTTCTACATACATTTATTAGCATAACAATCATTTGTTTGCATTACATAAATGAAAAGGAAAGAGGAGGAAGGAAAATTGGTAAACTGGATAGCTCTCTACTTAAGGTCGAACTGTCTGGACTATCTGTGTATCTATAGAATAGGTAAACTGGAAAGCTCTCTACTTAAGGTCGAACTGTCTGGACTATCTGTGTATCTATAGAGTAGGTAAACTGGAAAGCTCTCTACTCAAGGTCGAACTGTCTGGACTATCTGTGTAGCTATAGAGTAGGTAAACTGGAAAGCTCTCTACTTAACACAAGATCGAACTGTCTATATCTATAGAAAAGGTAAACTGGATAGCTCTCTCTACTTAGGTACTGACTAAATGGTGTACCCTACACCTGTGGGATCTACATAATAGTGCTACAGAGAGTACATGGAATCTACATAATAGTGCTACAGAGAGTACTTTTCTGTGGGATCTACATAATAGTGCTACTGAGTACAACATCTACAGGAAGTGAAAGGTGCTGATACCAACTGGAAACATGGCAACATTGAACAAAGAAATCAAAAATGGGGAAGTATTTTAAATTTCTTACTTTTTAAAACAAAGAATTTACAAAGCATAATTTACTTCTGTTAAATTTTTTAAGGACCTCTTTCAGAGTAATTAATACATAAAAAAATTGATTGTGCATGAGAGAAATGGATCATATATGCAAGTAAATCAATTTATACTCTTGGCATCTGTCTAATAAAGGGAAATTATTGTCTTTGTTCAATGTTCACCTACAAGTTTCCAATTAATACATTCTAGGGCAGGTTTTATTCCAGCATCTGAAATTTCTCTGATGTGTGCTGACATGTACTTATAATTTCTTAAAAATTTAATATTTATCAGCAGACATCAGAGATTTCAGAAGCTGGTGGGAGGTGATAGGAAAGTGAACACTACACTACACTGAGTAACAACACATACTCTTCTGAGTTCCTGCTCATTTTCTCTGTGCTCCATTACAGCGTTCTGAAGCTGTGTTTTCAGTTGATTGAGCTCCGTCATGAGCCGCTGTTTTTTGCCTTCACTGTTCTTTAGGTCTGCTTGTTCCTGTTTTTCTGCTTCATTGGTCACCCTCTTGTTATTCTCATCTGAAAACTTCTCAATTTGTCGCAAGTCTGCCTGCAATTTCCTGATAACAGAGTTCTTTTTCTTTATCTGGAAAAGTTTATGGACCAATATGTTATGTAAGATGTATAAATAAACTATTTTAATGTATACAAACAATCAATGGTGACATTTTTGAAATTAAAATGAACAAGATGAGACTCTTTTCATTTGATATTAGTTGGAACTTAAATTAAGAATGATATTATTGAAAAATATGAATATATTTCATATTAATTTAATACATAAATAATTGTACTTCTTCATCTTTTTCATCCATGGCAGCCTTCAGTTTTTGCTCCAAGTCCTCGATGACTACAGCATTCTGTCTCTCCCTTTTGGATACCTCCTGGATATACTGCATTCTTTCTTTCTCTTCCTCTGGAGTTGTCAGTAGCTTGTTCAGCAGGACATCTCGGAGGTCATTCATATCCTTGATAAACACGTCGCACTGCTCAGAACGTCTTGCTTGTGCTTTGATCATGTTCAGAGCATTTGGATTGGACAGGAATGCCCGGAGGATGTTTTTGCAGGAGCTGCTAAGTTGCTGTGCAACAAGACTGAGACTTCTCATTGTTCTCTCTGTTTGGCTGTCATAGCTCTCCACTGACTGGACTGATCTGGCAGACCGACCACTAGCGACACTGCTTCTTCTTGATATATCCCTAACTTCAGCTTCAGGCATTGGGCTTTCTGTAGGTGTTACCCCAGCAGCCCCAAACTCCCCTGTTCTCTCTTCTTCAAGCCCTTCACTCTTTTCTGTGCTTGCAGTTCGAATACGTCTTTGACGCAACTGAATATCAAGCTGCTGCTTTATCTCCTCATAACTATCTACTGTATTTTTATGAATGTCCAGTAAAAGAGATAGCTCGGCCCCCAAACTTACACGGAATCTTTCTCGGTTCTCCAAAATGTACGGAAGGATTGTGACAATCTCGGCTTTGCTTATTGTATCCTCAAAAACTGACATTACCCGTTGAGCTTCAATAGTAGAAATTTTTTTTCTTGTAGGTTCTAATGCTCTTGACGGATCAAGTCGTAGCCTATTTCGAATTTTGTTCGATGGGCCACACATCTTACTGTTTGGAGGCTGTGGCATATGGAGTTTTAAGGTAGGTTCAGCTGGAATAGCCTCCGTGATAACACTCGATACTTGACCCGTCGCCATAATTAGTTTTTCCTTAATATCACAATAAATATCTTTCTTTTTTGCTTAGAAAACAGTATCCATCTTGTTTTTCTTATCTGCCATATTTACACCCAATTACCTTTAATTTGTTGTAGTTTCTTACACTAGCAACAAATAGTTCTGGAGTACATAACTATTTGAAACTCTTTAACGGGAGAACTTTGCAAATTATTTCTGCATTTCTAGCGAAAAAATAATTTTATATTGATAATTATTATAATATGAGGTATAAAATCCATTTTTCTCAAAGTAGCATAACGTGTGGAAAATTGATATGCGGAGGAATAAAACTAACTATTTTTACATTCGGAACATCATTTTTCCATGTTCCGAATGTATAAAAACAAATATGGCGGGTAATGTGGAACGGCCTCTTAACCCTCTCCGTAAAAATCGACGTACTTCAAGTCTTTGTGAGTATCATTAGAGTATTTTGATTAATTTTATAACATTTTGATGAATGTTTCTTTATGATCTTTTATCTTTAATCTTGAAGAAACGTTCACAGTATAATTTTTCACTTTCACTTCAAAACATTCGTAGGTTAATAATCTTTCAGGAAAGAAGCCATCAATGAGTATGTATTTTCCGATTATACCTGACAATCTGAATTAAATCTGGAACGCTGCATATATTTAAATGTTAAATACCCCACCCAACAGATTGATAATCCCTTCCTCTAGACCATGTAGATTACAGGTCCAGCACAATCTCTTGATTAAGCTATATAGCTTGAAATAGCTATATAGCTTTATTAAGCTATTCAAAATAGCTTGATAATGCTATTTATTATACTTCTGTTAAAATGTTTCCTATATAAAGTTAAGAAGGTAAAATAACTATCTTTATAGTCTCAAAATGTCCACACATAGCAAAGCTATACCCCGGGGTATAGTTTTTGCTATCCACCCCTCGGAAAATTTTCATGCAATTTTTGCCGCCAATTTTGATTTCCTGTAATCAGTCTATAGACTTATGATGTCATCCTGACTTCAGTAGCATTGTGACGTCATCAGGATTTCAACTCATTCTAGCAGTGTTATATTTTTTCCAAATACTTGTTCAAAACTTTTATAATTTTTTTTTCATATTTTTACTATCGAACTGTAGTATCAGGTAAATCCAACCCTCAGAAATTATTATATACATCAGTATAATAAAACGCTTATCCACTGGCTGTGAGTGGGATAGCTCTTTCATCAAACCCTTGACAGGAACTATTCCCCTCGGGCAAGCCCTCGGGGAATAGTTCCTGTCGCGGGTTTGATAAAAGAGCTATCCCACTCACAGCCAGTGGATAAGTGTATATTATTATACTTCTGTTAAAATGTTTCCTATATGAAGTTAAGAAGGTAAAATAACTATTTTTCTATAGGCTGAAAATTTCACGTCTAACAAAGCTATACCCCGGGGTATAGTTTGTGCTATCCACCCCTCGGAAAACTTTCATTCAATTTTTGCCGCCAGTTTTGATTTCCTGCATTAAATCTATAGACTGATGATGTCATTATGACTTCACTAGCATTGTGACGTCATCAGCATTTCAGCTTATTCTTGCAGTGTTATCTTACGCCAAATACTTCCCCAAAATTCTTTTGAACTTTTCATATTTTGCCTATGACACTGTAGTATCAGGTAATCCAACCCTCAGAAATTATAATTTACATCAGTATAATAAAACGCTTATCCACTGGCTTTGAATGGGATAGCTCTTTCATCAAACCCTTGACAGGAACTATTCCCCTCGGGCAAGCCCTCGGGGAATAGTCCCTGTCGCGGGGTTGATCAGTGGATAAGTGTATATTATATGCAAGTTTTCACAAAATTTTATTTGTACAAGATAGACAAAAAGTCGCAAATATTTGACTATTCCTATATGTAGTATGGGTTATCAAATCAACAACCCAAATCAAAGATAGTTCTAACATTGCAGCATTTGAATACTTTTAAGCAAAAGATAAATTTCCATTGTTTGGGTAACTGTACACTACCTTGTGTGCGTTGAGGCATGGATAAGTATGATTGCTTCTCAAAGTACTGAATTATTACCAATCAATTATCTTGTTGGCCTCCTTTATAAGAAGTAACTGTATCAATTGCTTTATATAGCCCCAAAACTTTTGGAACTTTGAGTACAAAGTCTCTTAAGGAGACGCAATTTGATGAGTGATTTTTACTTGCATTATTTTCATAAGAGTTCAAGGATGAATATCATCACTGCACCAAGGTGCGACTTTCTGTGCATACTTGGCAAATAACACATTTGAGAAAAAAGTGTGATAAAATAGCTAAATCAAGCCACTGTAGATTCCTAAATATACGCGCGGAATTAATTATCGCGTTATTACGCGAGAAGCACCACTCGCGAAATAAAATTACTCGCTTTTATTTTTATGGTGCTTTAATGTATGTAAAATCTCTAGATAAATCACTCATTCGCGAATTATTGATCTCGCGATTTGACGCCCTTGGACCATTTCGCGATATTAAGTACTCGTGTAAAATAAGGAATCTACAGTATTCTGAATAACTTTATAAAGCTTTACAGCTAAATCAAGCTATATAGCTTAATCAAGAGATTGTGCCGGACCTGGATTAGATAGAACGTATTATATTATATTGTTAAGAGGCTGGATAGGAATTGGACCCATAGCCCCAACATCAGATGTCAGGTGCTCTAACCATACTGAGCACTGGTGCTTGAGGACAGGACACTCCCCAATATAGACTAGCCCCCATGCCTTTCTGATTTTTTTTCTCAAAAGTTATCTTTTAATGACATATTTCTGATCTTATCCATACTATCAATTTAAAAATTCCTAAACACAAACATTTTGAAAAATTCTACCCTACTGAATATATTATTAGGGGTTATGTAGACACTTAACTAATATGTAGACACTTAGAGGGTTAATACGGAAATATATGGGGTCCTTGAACAAATGCTGGTAGGCAGCATAATATGGTTTAATACATTATTCTTCTGGACCAATGAAATTTCAAGATTTTTATTAGAGGCAGGATAAATAAATCTACAAGGTTGCTATCCTCATCAAAGCTGTATCAATGGAAATGATGATGAGATGACTTATTACCCAATACATTTAAAACTATAGGCAATATTGTTTTTAATGTTTTCTAGATTCTACACAAAATATCTAGAGAGAAATGGGTGTATTTTCAATAAACATTGTGTTTTAAGGACATTGGCAAGTCAAGGTTTTCCGGAGAAAAAAGGTTTAATACATGGGTTTTTTCACTTAAGAAAGAGTGATTGAGAGTGATCTCCCGTGTAGAATCTCCAAGCGGTGAAAACCAATAAAGCGTATGTTTACAGAGGTAAACAAAAGCATGTGTACTTCCTTCAACGGGTAGAATCATCTATACAGCAAGAAAGAAAAGTAGTAATGGCTTTGTTGTAAATTGTATTCAGGGGACAAAGAGCCAACAGATTGTCATTTACCATAATTATGCTCAGTATGCTGGGAAGGGCAAAGATGTGACATATGCTAAAAGGTAGACCAACTGAGATCAGTTCTTAGGTTGTATGAAGGAAGCAGAATTTAGTAACTGCGAATAAAATTTGAAATAAATCCATGCCAATATTTTTATGTCAATGTATTATAATCAATTCAGTCAATTACATGATAGAATCAATCAACCAGTCTGACTCTCTTGACCATTATGAATAATATGTAATTATAGCTGTTAAGGGAAGTAACTCAAAAATAAAGATTGGTGCCGATATGTTCTTGTCTTGTTTCTATATATACATTTTCAGCCAAAATAACTACAAGTCATAGGAAATAAAGATACAATAATGTATATAATACAAAAACTATATGAAATAAGTGGGTTTTGGAGAATTGTTATGGTGAAAAATTATGTAGGTCCCTTTTATCAACATTTTACATAGGAAATGCATTGGGAATTGCAAAAACACTGATTTGACAAAATCTAAAAAAGAAGGCTGGCTTGGTAGGTAAAATAATCCAGAATGTAGCCTGTTTAGTACAATTAAACCTACTCAAGAGTTCTTGAAAAATTCTATACGATAACCAGGAACCTTGCCAATGTCCTTAAAGGGACAACACTCTCAAAACAAAACCTGCAAGTCAAATGATAAGTCATATAATTTAAAAGAAATTAGATGAATTTAATTTACAACAGTGGTTTTAAACACTTTGATACATGTACTATGTTTGAAATACATTTTTAAAAAGTGTTTTAACCAACTTTCTTCACATGCTAATTCTAAAACAGTGTTTCCTACAGTACTTCCAACAGTAGTAAATTTGGGTAGAAAGTCATCTCTTCATCACTTCCATTGATTTGACTTTGATCAGTTGATGCTAACATCCTTGTGGAGTTGGCCATTACTACAGTAACTGTTGAATGCCTAAACATAAATAATGAAACTTGATAATGAATGAAATGAATATTAAATCTATAGATTTGAGTTTTTGATTTTGGCTAGGTGTAGTTTCATGAAACACTTTAACAGAAATTCCTTGTCATCTATATTGGAGAGAGAAAGGGGGTGGGGGGGGGGGGGTTCCTGTCCTCAAGCACCAGTGCCACTGAGCACTAAGGCTAATATCCACAGCCCAAACTATTACAGTACTATTGGTATGTGTCATACAACTACAGATCAAGAACTGAATAGTTTCTTAATATGTTGTAAAGTTTTTGGCAATTTAAATGCATTAGAAATAACTCTTATGAAATTGATCTTCTTTGATCACCTCACTTATGATTACTACACCTTTTGAAGCAATCATAGGTGAGAAGATTAAAGGATTTTATTTTGTTAGGTTAGAAACAAATTGACAAGGCGTTCATAGCTTAGCTTACTGTGCAAGTTTTTATTACAAACAAATTGATTAATAATTCTGTTTTTATTTTAATCGTACAGCTGAGTCAGAATATGAAATTGTCAATGACACGGGGAATATGGGATATGAATTTCCGATCTCGGAGCACATGTCTCGCCGCGAGAACAGAAAGCTGTGGGAGCTGAACTACCAGGAGGCCGCCATATTTCTCCAGGAGGGAG